TTAATAATTAATTTGTTATTAAGGCTTGATCTTGACAAGCAAGCTAAGCTTCCTTGGTGGCTTTCAAAAAATGCAGATATATGTATTTTCTTTACTAGTTTTAAAGCTAAGAAAATTTGGCCTTGAGAGAATGTTCCTACTAAAAGAATTTCAACCCAACTTATAAAGATACTTAGTGTGAGGCAAGGTAGTAGAAATGAAAGTGATAAAGGTTAGACTGGGTGTTTAAGTAGCCACTAGACAAACCCTATAAGATGTATTCAGAATTCTTGAGTCAAATCCCCCACAATGGTACTCCTTTCAGTTGAATGCCCCAATCAATAGGAATTTTGCATATATGGGGTTAACAAACTTTTGTTCAACTTTAAAGGGGCAACTCAGTTTGTATGCACACACACATGGACATGATTCATGTGAAATACAAATATAGGAAATTGAAACTGGACACATATACCGTATTTCTCTATTAGTAGCACATGTACTTTATGTAAATAAGATGTGTACCTGTAAGTCAAATTTTAATGATTTATGATACAATAAATCTAATGGTTGAAAAATAAATATGTTGTACATGCTTCAATGAAGAAGATACTCACTCAATATTTTCCTTAGAAATAGCCCCATTTGGCTGTTGTTTGTTGAATAATGGGGTTAATTTCTGTTGTGCAGGCATAGTGGAATTTTTACGCTTCGATTTCAAAGATAGTTTGGGTCTCTTTTTAGGAGGGCTTGATGTCTTTGACAAACCAGAATAAGCTGCTGACATTTTCTGAAAATATAAAAAAAAAAGTTGATTCTAACATATCCTATGACATACATGTACTGTACGTAATTCAGGCAAGAAGTTTGATTACACCAACAATTAGGCCTGAGTAACACAACCACTGTAGTTACGTCAGTGTTCAAAGATATACCAACAAGATACATGGTGTATCAAAACATGGAAATACTTCATGGTAATCTCAAGTGTTTGCAGCAGTGGACATTGAAGAATATTTATACCCAAAAACAAGGCTTGACTTGAGAGTTGAGACAGCACCTACATGTATTTTCAAAGCAAAATTTAATAAAATTGCTTTTAGTAACAACTTGTATGCGGTAACTTTAACAACTAATATATTTCTGCAATTAAATATTCCTATTGTGCAATATATTAGTATAAAATTAAGAGACAACTGAAGAACACCAAAGCATACTCATTGAGCAATAAAGTTTTGACTCCCTTGCTAAGTGTAAGTTTTGCAATGAATGCAATTTTGTAATAACCATTGCTGTAGTTCATAACTATAGCATTCGTAATACTAATTGCAATTGTATTGCAGTCACAAGAATTAATTTCAGTCATTACCAAAAAATTCATAAATTAGGTACGAGTGAGGCACTTTTTAATGTGAATCAAAAATTTTCATGGTGAAGTGAAAAATTGACATAGTAAAATTAAATTTAGAGTGGGGTAATTGCTAATTTTTCTCGGAGTGCTGGCAGAACAGACGGTTGGGAGTCTTCAATATGACACATTGCTTGATGACACAGCAGGTGTTGTATATAGGTACTCAATGATCCCTCATAACAGGACTGATTTTGCAGAAATCCTGAGTCAAAATGGAATCCCAAAAACTCAAAGTAAGTCAGCTTTTTGATGCCCTTACAGTTGTTTTTTTAAGAAAAAGTTAAAAATGTAAAGTTGACGATAACAGGTGATGACAGACAATCAGTAATATGAACAGCCCCCCTCTGTTGACTTTATGAAAAACATGGACATCAAAAACACCCACATCATAATAAGATTAACCACCTCTAAGAAACAGTTAACGATACATTCAAGTATCAGAATTTAGACTAATTTTAGGTGAAATATGGCCACCAGTCAGCCATAATTGATCAAATAAAAAAATAAATGACATGTACGACATTATGTATTGTATTTTAGCAAGTTTTACTTGGTTGATAACATGTGTGTGAATACGATGTTTTTCAAGATCTCTAGATATCAATGTATGATTTTCCATTGCGTCAATTATGCATCAGGTATTTAGAATGACTAGTTGCATCACATCAAATCTGGCGAGGTGTATCAGATTATAGGGCACACTGTATGTACAAGTGAAAGGCATATGTTATGTAATCCAAACATTTGAAGGCTTGAGTGACGTGACAAGGCTGAGAGTTGAAGATGGCTTTACATGTAGCTTGAGGTCAAAAGTAAGACAACAAAATTGAGACAGCAGGCCATCAAAATATTGGGAGTTAGTAAGCTCCTTCCAATGAGTAAAAACCACTTAAGTTAATGGCATGGCGTGACATGTTTAAAACACTTCATCATCCTAGGAAATACCAGCAATGACACTGTGTTGACCACTTGAATAATAATAAGGCGTTGGTAACTAAAGCGGACAGATGTGTGTCATGATTAACACAATGAAAACGAATAATATAAATTTGCTTGTTTTAGTTTCTTGTGGCACGTCACTGTGATACCTTGTCATATGTCACACTGTTATCAAATGGAACATAAATTCTACCTTCTGTGTCCAATGAGAACCATGTACAATTGAATTGGGTTGTAATTATCTAATGGAAATACCTAAGCACAGTCTCTTTATCGTGATAGAGGTCATGTGACCTGAACAATATCTTTTAGCATATCCGGTACAAACAAAAGAAAACCTGTCAACAGGAACAGTCTTTGATTTTAATTTTATATTACTTGTGTATTATATTTTTTAATATTTCAAAATTAAATAACACAAATTACATCAATACATGTCAGATTTGTCATTTTCTTTTCGTCTTTCTCAATTATTGATTAAGGTTATATAGTACGGGGTACCATTACAAATCTAGACTGGTAGATCTAGCACAAGATTGCTATAAAATCAACATATGACCACCGGCACAACCAATTAAGTGTACCTACTAGAATGAATCAAAGACAGTTTTTAATAGAACTCACTGCTACAAGTGAGACACCAATGTAATAGTCTTGTATTTTAAATTGATTTACTACAAGTAACTATATTTTCTAGTTAATGGTCTTGCACTGATTTACATAAACTGAACCATTGTGACATGAATTATGCATCATTTCAGTAATCACACTCAAAGCATTCCACATTAGTGCCAAAATGATGTGAATATGAGCACCAAATATGGTGGACCTCACAGGTCAAATAAACAAAATTTTCTTGGAAACCTGGTGAGATGCCAATTTTAAAAAGTTGGTAGTCCTACAGTAATATTGGGTAGTCCAACAGGTTTCTATGTACTGTAGAAGGAACATAAAGCCATGCAAAGAAGTGATAACACAAATATATAAATATCACATTGCTAAAATACATGTGTACATGTACATGTAGGACAACCACGACATACTGGTTAATGTAAAAACAACTTATTTTTTTTAAAGTTTCTAGTAGTCCATTTGGGCTACCTTTGTACATTTGAAAAATGGTAGCCAAAGGACAAGTATTTGTAGTCTATGTGCTTAGGGCTACTGCTAATTTTCATCCCTAGACCTGCATCGGTAAGTAGAACAGACTCCACATCCAGCTACTTGGCAGCTACATCAACCATCGCTAAGTTACTTGTATGCACCGTGTCTGAACAGTTACATTACTCCCAGAACACGAACAATTCAACCGTACAGAAAAGAAAGTAGTGATCATGTCACTACCTCATAAGGAATTGTTTTGATTTTTATGACATAACATCGCATATAACAAGAGGTGGGAACATTCCACTCCCTGACCTACCAGTAGATCAGGGCAAAAGTCACATATAGCAATCCACTGTCATAGATGTGTCTCAAACAAAACAATACAATACAGATAAAATCAAATGTTTCAACAGTTGAGCGTAATCAACCACATCTCACAAGACCTGATTTATGATGAGACTTCATGCACATATGTATTTAAATAAAGTGTTTGATGACAGAAAATATAAATTGAACTATCCCGGTAGATTAAAAGATGTATAGGCTCTGATGTAAGTCAGTCAATGGAAGTGATTGACTGAAAATCTTTTTTATAGACTTCTGAGGTCAATCCATGCAATCCATGGGAGTTACCAGAGACTGTTCCAGACACTCAGAAAAAAAATCACAGTGTCACAGTAACTAGTAGTGATTCTGAACACAGCAGCCTTGTACATTTCATCGCTACAAAGCCTTTATGACAGGAGGATGCTTACAAAACACTGTCATGTACTCCCAAATAAGGATTATGTTGTCTTGAAAGCTAACTAGAAAGTCTTTTGATACATAGTATTAGTTGATATGTTATGCGGTTATAATCTCCAGTGAAAAAACACACAAACCATGTCGTGTAAAGGTAAAACACAGAATTCAAAGCAGCATTGTTATAATCACCCATTGTAAAAACCATCTATCATTTGCTACCTAAGATTTCACAATAGTAGTGACCCCTAGTCTATCATTAGTTCATGGTCAAATCCAAAATTAGCTCAACCATATGTGTATTGGAGGTGAAGTATGTGCTTTGTAATTCATTGAGTCCACATTCCAACTGGTTCTACAAACTTGTATTTTCACTTCACTTCACTTCAAGTGGAAGCATTGAGTACAGCAATATTTGAGATGTATATATTTGCCTCATGCCACAATTGAATTATTCGTAAAAAAAAATAGATAGGATAGATTTTTGATAATATGAACACAATTTAAATTAAATTATACATGTAACATTCATTGTATTGAATTTACTAAAATTCTTTTTCTTTCCAATTTGTTCTACACTGACAATCCTGAAAACTAGTAGATAGATCATAGCAACAGTTGCTAAGGTAGTTAAGTTTATACATTTCAGCTAATCAGTTCCATTGATTTGAGAATATGTCATTGATTGAATTAATTAATCAAGCCCTCTGTGCACTAGGTCCCCATTTTGATGACCACATTACTGTACATGGTGCAAATTGTTGGTCTTAAATAAAATAAAATAATAAAAAAAGGTCTCCTCTGGCACTGCAAAATGAATGTTGTAAGCTGCTGTGTTTTCTACTATTTTAGTCTGAACCTCAGTTACAGGTTCCTAAGTTACCTACAGTGGCAGTGCTCTTCCCAGAAATTTAAAACACTATAGCAGTAAAAATTTACATAATATAATTTTCATAAATTTTCATATGATTTGCATATACTTATTTCAAGCAGTCTAATTGTATGAAAAATAGTTTTAAGTTTACAGAAACTTATAATTTGAATTGAATAGTTGGCAATGGCACAGTGGAAATAAATCTGTTTGACAGTCAAGATAATGACTGTGGCAGTGTCAGACTACATGTAGTGTTGTGGTAAAACAAAGGACTATCTCTATTCCTAACAGTTAAATTCAATTCACACTAATTTTACGCAAGTATTACTTTCCCAAAATTGAATTATAGAAGAATTTAGATAAATTGAAAACAGTAAAATTGTCAGATCACATTAAATGAAATATAAATTCAAATCAATATAAAATATAGGTTCTCAAAAATGCCTTACTTTTGGCTCTAATTGTTTTTTTTGTTTGTTTTTTGGACTTTGATCCAAAGTTTGTAAATACACTTTTCTAGTATGGTAGGAACGATACCGGTACTTGCAAACATATGTTGTGTGTTGTCCAGTCAACTCACAATAATCCTGATAAATTGTTAATAAACATATCTGGTTAGTTTACTATAATGTATACTTAACTGCATTATAGATATTATTAAATTACCACCATACCAGCATATATGAACAATATTTACTGAGTAAAAGAGTTTATTCAGAGATCATACACACAGGATGAAATAATATATTAATTAACAGATCTTTTGAATTAGACCAAAATATAAAAAAACCATACTGGTATGGGAAAAATGAAAAAAGGCATTAATGTAGGATATATTCTCCATTAAAACTAATTTAATAGAGTTTACACGAGGTTAATCTGGAAATTTAGACTTGTATAGAATTTATTGTATGTTCAAAAATACCAAAATAAATAAGGTTATTAACCCTACATACCTACTAGGATTAGGGATTAAGGATTTTGGCATTTGTTCAGGCTATTTTTCTTGAGTGCAGACTTTGTTTTTTGCTACATGTACATTTATTTTTATTGGATTCATGCCCAGTCACTGTGACCCCTAGAAAGTATAATAGTGGAACCAGATAAATGAATTCCATGTGGGTAGAAGACAGTAGAATTCATTGTTATTAGTAAAATCCATGCATGTAAGACATTGTTAAAACACCTGTAATATAACAAAATTGAATACCAGCAATGATGACAAAGACTTTAACAGTAAATTTACCCAAGAGCTACACAATAATAGACCTCATGGCAGTGGTACAGCAGTGAGCAATATTAAATGGAAAAACAAGTCACTTCACTCGAACATACACGACTAAGCTGTACTTGATTGATATAGAAAACGGCAAAAACACCATTTCCCTCGATTTTGATTCTCTGATTTTGTATTACACCCCTGGATTGGTAATAAAGCGCACTGAACATAGGTCAATATGATTACAGTAGTTAATAGACAATCTTATTTGTGTGATTTGGTTAAAAATACATGCTATAATCATTCACTGATTATATGATCATCTTCAGGGACAGGAATTTTGATAGCAGAATAGGGCCATAGGGCGTACATGTATTTACTCTGACTAGTTAAATATTAATTAAAACAAGCAAAAATTCACAACTGAAATGCATATTGCAGTAACATAAAAACTACAAAATGTTGATGTGATTTAAATCATTAGTTTAGATTTGAAATCTAATAATATTAATAATAATGAAATTCACTTCCGCAATATTCTGAATATGCCAAGAACTGTTGGTTGGGTCAAAAGACACAACTGCAACTGAATGAGCAATACTATACATTCACGAAAAAACTAATTTAATTAAATTTGACAAATATTTCAGAGCAAACCAAAAAAATTAAATAATTATGACTAATTAATAAGCAATATGCTGGCTGAGCATCGAACAGTAAGACATTTCTTTAACACGTCCCCCAATGTGATTTGTTCTCATTAAAACCCAAATTTGGTGTTGAACCATTGGTTCAAAGAGAAAAATTTAAGAATGACGAAATTCTGGAGAACGAAAAAACAAAACAATTCTATGAATGGTCAAAATTTAGAAGTCAATAAATAAATTACAAAAAAACGCCAAATAATTTATGTGGTCATAGCGTGATATATATTTTTTAATTATAATTATTCTATAAAACCACTGCTGAGTAATTTATAATGACATAACAACAACAAAATTTGATTTGTTGACAGCTTTGACTGCTGTAATGCTGAATCAGCACATACATCTACAAACTTTGACAGGGTTGGAATCTCATTGAAAACTCATCATTGTCATTGTTATATGCGGCACAATTACAGGAGCTTCTGCTACTGTGTAACGTGATTACATAAACTTGTGACCAATGTCATGAGCTTCTAACCACCTTGGATTTGTTTGACAACGGGACGTCTGTTTCGTGTTTATGATACAAACTAGTGTATTTAAAAAACTTACAATACGCTCAACGGCCTAGTCTTCAAACAACTATCCGATGATAGCGTAGATCGAACTGTCGATATGTTGTCAAAAAAACACGGTGAGTCAAGTAAGGGTGGGGACATTGTTTCCCCTTCTCGTTAGGTGCATCAGATTTGGGCGTGTCCTACACGCCAAGGTTTTCACTGCTGATAAAACGCGATGTGGTTGCGGGAAAACACAACAAACCGGGCGTAGCACGTATCACTTTAGTGCAGCATAGCATTAGTTATACCAGCCAAAGATGCCAGTGATATGTGCCGCACTCAGTGAGATAGATAAAGCCACACTTTGATAAGAAAATCTCATCGAAATGGACATAGGCTCGCACCTTGCACTCTATAATAGTATACATTCCTAAAGTGAAGAAACGAAAAGAGTGACCTTGCCAAATATATCGTAAAACTTGTGAATATCTTGAACAATGGATGGATATACATACCCGAAGACACACCAGATATGCTTCTTTTTTTCACACACGCCAGCGCTGTTCTTGACAATAACGTGTCACTCTTGTTTCATCCCGAAATTGTGTACCACCAGTTTTACGCATAAGATTGCCGCCATTTTGGTTTCTGTTTGTGCACATGCGCACACCATAGATCTGACATTCTGTTCCAATATGATCTTTGAACTGTTCGCGTATTATGTTAATGACACACCCAGTGTTGAGCGGAAGTCGTGGGTAGCGTAGTCATATAATGTTATACTAAGCAGGTAACGTTTGTTTCAAGAGTGAAATGAATAAATTTACGACATTTATCATACATTCTGCACAAATATTTAATTTTAATCATACCAGAAACAACACATATCGATATAGAATATGATATAATAGAATAGAATATAAATATTTTCAATAAAATACAATACTTATCTACTCTAATCAATCACAGTAATTGTTGTCTATTGTGGGTATTCATAATTCTAACTTATCTTGTGTCTTTTGACGGTGATAAAAAAATGGAATATAATTACTATCTTTATTTTTTATAAAGGGCTTATTCTGTAATAAAGTGTGGGTCATCTTTTACATGGCATTTGATGCATCAACGTTTGTTTTATATCGTGTATGACTGTCTATTTGTTCAATGCAAGTCTGAATTTACTTAAAACTTTAATTGAACGCCTATCAATCAGCTGCTCTATGTACACTTCTTGTTTCATAATTTTTTTATGATAATATGTTTTCTACGTTTTGATCTGCTCTGCATGTTCTTCTCCCACTGGCAGATAGCAACTCGAATAACTTATTGAGACTCTGTGTAAGTTTAATTTTGTGATATTCAGATTTATACTGTTGAGAACCAGTGACCAGTGCATCTTGTTAAACATAATATCGCATGATTTGTCGTACAATCGAAATATTGACAATAAACATACTCTCCAGCGCGTTTCACTGCGCTTCGAATTCCCCGTATGTACACTGGGTATCTATACAATCATACAGAGGTTGCGTAATGATATAAAGAATATGTGCAGAATTTTGTAGCAGTGACTAGATAATGGGCACAATTCACTTAATTACGGTATTACAGTTATTCTCTTTTGATGGTATATTATCTGCAAAATACGTGGTGCATGGTAAAATTAAAATGAAGTGGAATTTTTCAAGTTAGGGTTTAGATTCGACACAGGATAAGATGTACTCTCAAAACAGTTTTCCTTATTTAGGAAATGAGCAAAAAATACAGGGCAGGTAAGTCTGGATTTCTACCAGTCAGAGTAAATAGCTACCAGTGACGGAAAAGACGTAATTTCTGAACTTTCATAATATCAATATTGGTATTATCAATCACGTCCTATAATTGGTTGTTCAGGGCTTTCGAATTGATTATTTTCTTAAATAATAGGTAATAAACATAGAGCAACATTTTGTCAAAATTATTAACATATTCAGCGTTTTCCCGACTACACTTCGAAATTCAGGATTTTGATGTGTTCCACAGTTATAAATGGGCCAGTTTTTTTATAACTGAATACAAAATGGAATTGCTCAAGAGTTTCCGGCGAAAATATCGTAAAATAATTCACAACAAATCACATTGGTGCTCTCTTCACTTTGGTCGGTAACCATTCGGATGATACTATTTCATTTTTGGTATTTTATCTGTAAATGATGCATTCTTGTATTCGCGTCAAAGGATATGATGCAAATTAAATAACTAATGTAAATGAGTAAATCATAAGAAATCAATATTTACTTGTTAGTATTTGAGCCGCTCCTCGAGAAGAGATGTGGAGAGATGACAACAACCACCGAGTGATTTATTTATGTCATGTATGGTCATAAATACTGTTAGGGATATTTATGCCTGTAATTTATGTAATTATTCATCTCCCTAATTTGCATTATTTCACCGTTTAATAATTATACACAATTAGAGCAACATATATTTTATGTTAAAAGCCTGTAACTGGGGAACCATTGGACTAGATTCTAGATCTCTGTCCCTAACGTAAATAATTGCCGTTTCTGTTTGTTATACTGCCCCAACGGTATGTTTGTTATATACAGTAATCAAGAGACTGGAACAGGATCTAGTGGACCATTGGTGCCATGACGTCTGGGAATTTTAGAAACAGTAATCACTTTGATTTGCCGTTATCGATTTTGGGAAAAATAATTGTCCACATATTTGAAATATTTGTGGTTTGTTTATTTACTGCTGTCATAATTATGTAATTTGTTTTTGAAATACCGAATCACATATTTTACGGTCCAACAAGCACATTGGCCCAGCCTCGTTCGCAATGGAGACTTGTAAACAATCGAGCACAATTAAACGATATGTAGACGAAAACAACTTGCACATTTGCTATCCGAACATTTCAAATGGAATTGTTTGTAGTGACAACACATGTCTCGGTAAGATACGACTACAGTAAATACAATGCATAATATCAAATGCAGAATTTTGACAGAAACATTAAATGTTCCTTATAAACAACTAAGTGAATATGTACAAATTAATAAAAAATAACGTAATTAAATTGTTCGTATATTATTATCAACCTAACTGCAGTATCTAATACAAGATTGTACCAAAATTATGCCCACAATTAAATATTATAATAATTATGTCATCGCGTAAAGTCCAGATAATTAACAGTTAATTAACAAATAATGGTTTTAGTAATCATAATAGAAATCACGTGATTTTAGAATTAATTGACTCACAATAAGCGCCTGGCTATAATTCTTTACGTCTTGCAATAAAGATGTATACAGCTCGTACTTAAGATAGCGCCCTCATTGTCAGTTTTAGCCAATATAACTGAAATAGCTTTGAGCATAATAACATATTTATTTACCAATGTGGTTGGATGATTCTATCTCCGATTTTATCCGTATTATCTGTATATGGTAATTACAGCAATTCATGACGTAACGTACGGACACATTTGGTTCTTTGAGAAGACCAACCAACACATAAGGCATATTTTCAGACTAATAATTCTAAAGATACCAATCAAGATGAAAAGATGTGATCACTAAACGCATACATTTTCTCCCGATTTTACTGGTACCCCAGTTGCCCCTAAGTCTGTTTTTTTATTTTTCGTCAACGCAGCGGCAGATGGATACAGCTGGGGTAACAATTCTAAGAGTTTTATTTGTATTTGCTTTTATTTCCTAAATGTGTATTCAAATTGACATGCTGGTAACCACTGGTAACCAGCACAAATGCCAACCATTTCATCTTTTCACCACCAGACTTTCTCGACCAATTTTTTCTTTTTTCTCATATTCTTCAATATTTCTGGAAATAAACCCTAATTTGGAGCCAATAGACAACATTTGAGTCAATTTTCCACTCAAAAAATTTGTCTATTTTGTCCCAATTTTATAACTATTTTGTGAATTTGTGATGAAAAAAGAGAACTTGTGTTGAAAAGGTTTAATGAATTACACATACTTGATATTTTGGCCAAAGCAAAAAGTCAGTCACATGCAACAATATCACTAAGACTACAAGTTTGTAGATGTTACGTGAAGGTATTTCCTTAGATATGTCAATGAATAAACACCATGTGATATGAATGGAAATCAAATTCTGTGGTCAATGCTGCTATTATTTCGGTTTACTGGAGCAATAAACCTCCGCCGAAGTCCCTTATACAACGAGATTTTGCACAATCCACGAGATTTTGCACAATCCACGAGATATACTAGTAACTACGGGCGTCAACGATTGTGTTGTATATACCTGACTTCCGTGACGGTTTATTGCCATTTTATTATATCAACATCATTTTGTTTGCAATTCTGAGACTTAACTTTAATGCACCGTCAAACCACAAAGAAACGTGACAAGGCACGGTAAAAGCACAGGCGCTCGGTATGTTTCTGTGATAATAAAAGAAATATACAATAACCATTACAGGGCCGGGCGATCTCTCTAAGACCCTTAGCTTAGTTAGAGCAGATCTGTGCGATTGGGTTTTCACATCTTCCACATACTTTTCAAAATCAAAATTTAGGTATGAATATTTAGGGACATTTTCTAATTCTTGTCAATGCAAAATTTATTAAATATCATGATTTTGGATTTCGCTGTATTGATTTCTAATTTCCATTTTGTTGCAGTAGGTTGTTAGAGAGGGGAGGGGTCATTATTGAACTGCTCAATTTCATTTTTAATATCATTTTTAATAATAAATTTATTCATAATACTGTAGGCCTCCGGCCTCAAGGTATACTCATTGTAATTACATAACATGTTACAGAGGACAATGTAATTTTACAGTGACTGAAAAAGAACAAGAAAATATGAAAAGAACATGAACTGTCAGACCAAAATAATTGTAGTACGTTTTTTTGTGGCGGGAAAAATAAATTTAGAAATATTACGCAAGATTACTGCATTTTGTAATTGTAATAGCGATATACATTTTTCGGGTGAGGGAAGTGTATAATAATAACTTGGGATGTATTTAGATCTCAACTCTTGGTAAAACGGACAGATAATGCAAAAATGGTACTCGTCCTCTACACAATTGGTATTACATAAAATACAAACTCTTTCTGTGCGTGTATTATGGAATTTTCTATCAGTTTCAATACGTAGACAATGGGCAGAAATTCTTAGGCGACACAATGCTTCCCTGTAACAGTCTTTTTGGACTGTTTTATAATAATTCTCTTGACCAAATATATATTTAAATTCTCTATAAAAGCACAGCTTCGGAAATAGCTTGAGTCCACTTTTGAATATCAATGTCCAAGCATCGCTGTTTGAAAATCTTAACAAAGTATTCAGAGTTCCCCACCCCTTGGTTGTACCATGCCTCACCCAGACCATAAGAAAGAAGCAACATTTTTAAATTCAGGGCCCAACACTTTTTACCCCTTTCTGCTTCATGGTACTGAAACATGTAACATAAATATACCAGTCTGTGTCGGGGTAATGATAAAATGCGAAGCCAGTACTTAATAATCCTAATAAGTCTAAACGTTTTAATAGTAAACCTACCTAACTCCCCCCTTATAGCCAAATTTGGTGCATTATGATAGACTTTCAATATAAATCGACAGAATTTGTTTTGTATAATTTCAAATTGATTGCC